CCCATCATGGACCTCTCCAGTGTGAACCCATCCCACAGGAGACAGTCCTGGATGGAGCTCTCCAGTGTGAGCCCATCCCACGGGCAGCAGCTCTTCCCAACCTGCTCTCCCATGGGTCACTCCATGGGGTCAGTCCTTCAGGAATGAGCTGTACCGGTGTGGGTCCCCCACTGGGGCCACAAGTCCTACCCAGGAAAAACCTGCTCCGTGTGGGCTTCCCTCTCCATGGGCTGCAGGTCTCCGGCAGTTCCTGCTCCATCCTGGGCCTCCCATGGGGTCACGGCCTCCTTCCTGCACCCACCTGATCCAGCAGGGGAACCTCCATGGGCTGCAGGGGGGTCTCTGCACCCTCATGGCCCCCCATGGGCACAGGGGGGGGTCTCTGCACCCCGATGCTCCCCATGGGCACAGGGGCACAGCTGCCCCACCCTGTTCTTCCCCATGGTCTGCAGGGGAACCTCAACTCCGGCGCCTGGAGCTCCTCCTGCCCCTCCTTCTGCCCTGCCCTTGGTGTCTACCTTGTTGTTCCCATGTTGTTCTCACTCTGCTCTTTCCTGGCTGGAATTCTTTCTGTGCCACAACCTTCTGTTCTTAAATATGTTACTCCCGAGTCATTACTATCACTCCTGATTGGCTTGGCCTTGGAAGCCCGTCCTGGAGCAGCTGGAATTGGCTCCACGGGACAGGGGAAGCTTCTGGCAGCTTCCAACAGAAGCCACCCCTGTAGCCCCCCCTACTACCAAACCCAAACCACAGAAACCCATTACACACATTCATGCTGATTTTGAACAATATTCTCATATCAGATGGACAGGATGAAGTTTTACATGGGTTTCATCAATCCATGGAACTTGGGTGTTCTGGCAAGGAAAATGAAAGGTATCCCTGACATGAAAGCTTTAAAAGTAGCTATTTGGGGTTATATTCCAAATGGAACAGCTTAAATGAATGAGTTACTTCTATCCCAAAGTTTTCCACTTATGAGGTGGGAAATTGTGCTTGTTTGACAGGAATACTTGGATAAGTATCCAGGTTTTGACAGGAATACTTGGATAAGTATCCAGGTATAGCACGTTGGTGAGACACTGGAGCACTGGAAGAGATGGAAAAATATATGGATGACAGGATTTTGAGAAATAAGGCAGAATAAGGTGACTCAAGAGTTGGACTTGATGATCTCAGAGGTCCCTTCCAACCTGGCTGATTCTATGATTCTATGACATCAGGAGGTTTTCACTGGGAGAATTTTAAATGAACAAATTCTGGGGGCATCCAGGTGAAATCCATAAAAGATCATGGAATCATTAAGGTTGGAAAAGAGCTCTAAGATCATTGAGGCCAAGATGGAAAAAAGGATTTCAAATGAGTCGTGACCAAGGCACAGATCAATATTAATATGTTCCTAATTCTTAAAAGGACTAATTCTTAAAGAATTCTTAAAATTCTTAAAAGATGAGTGATGGGTAAGATATGGAAAAAGGAGAAAGTTGTGGGTTTTCCATGAGCATGGGGATGTGGATGGTGTTGAAGGACAGACCTACACGTTGTTCTGTAATGATAAATAACAAACAGGGTCAAATTTGGACTGGAGATGGGTAGGAGAATACTTGGAGAGACGAGGGATTTGACTCTTTCCATATTCTGTGCTTTGGAAAAGAAACAACAGCAAATGAATATCGGCTGGAGAGAGAGGAATGTTCAAGAGAAAAAAGGTGAGGGTGAAAAAGCACTTTATAGAGTTTCTAATGCAGAATGTGATGTGAGGTCAAGTCACCTGAGGGTTGAGTCCTGGACTATTGCAGCCTCCCAAGGAAAAAGTCTTTGTGCAGGAAGAAAAGAGGGAAGGACTGACATCAGAATTGTGGGAGATCCAGGTGACAAAGGAAGAGCAAATTGGAGAAGCTGAGGGGAGGTTACGACAAAAAAAAAGGCAGAAAACATGGAAAATGTCCTGAAACCGAAGGTGTGGAGAAAGCTTTGTGTTTTCTTCCTGTATCTGGAGGATACTGGAATTAAGTGGGACACTGGATTGGTCTGGGCTGGAAATTTCCTTATGGGAAGGAGGAGAAATGAGTTTCATTGAGAGATTTCAAGAGCTCAGAGTGGATGATGGATCTTGGAAGGCGTGTGGGAGCAATTCCAGTGGAGTGGGGCAGCCCTGCAATTAGAGCATTTAAGAGGAGGGAGAGGGAATTAGGAGAGCTGCAGGAAACCCCACATTTGAAAAACTGGGAGAATGGAGTCATTTCTGCAAATGAGATCCACTGTCTGTGGAGCAGTTTAGACTGAGAGAGAAAATAAGGCTCTTCATCCTCTTAGCAAGGCTCTTCTTTTCAGGAAAGCTTGGAATTTTATTTGTTTTTCCTGCTTTACTTTCACTCAGAGTAATGAAGGAATGGTTAAAATTGCTCATACCTTCGGAATTAGATATGTTTTTTAATATAGCTGAAATACTCTGTTGTCAATACATCCGTTTTTTGAAGGAAAACTAATTAAAAGCTGAGTTTTTCATAATGACTGCTGGGGCAGTGTGGCCTTTGTGAGGTAATTCCACTGACAGTCATTTCCATGGGATCTTTTTGTTCCCAGGTTGTTGCTGATGGTCTTTCTGCAAAGGCAAAGTGACACATTAGAATTTTCTGTCAAGTGCACAAAGAAAAGAAATAGAAAAATTAGACATAGGTGTGTTTTTTCCCAAGCTGGCCTGTCATGATGCTGCTGGGTGCTAATTGAAATGATGGGGTGTGCAATATTTTGAGGCAAAAATGTGATTTTAAAGTTAATGATGTTTCTTCTGGAGTTGAGTGGCTACTGGGATAAACATGGACAGGTTTGTTACAGTCATTGGAAACAAGGCAAGGGGAATCTTGGGTGGACTCTCATTTACTCACTTGTCTGGAGGTCAGATAATTAACCTGGTTTTTAAAAAATCAGTAGCTAAAATAACCCAGTCACTCACAGAATGTAGCAGTTGTTATCTTTAGAAACGTAGAGGGTTCTTCTTGGATATTAGGAATTCTTGGCTGGGAGGGTGGTGAGGCCCTGGCACAGGTTGCCCAGAGAAGCTGTGGCTGCCCCTGGATCTCTGGAAGTGTCCAAGGCCAGTTTGGATGGGGCTTGGATCAACCTGGGCTAGTGGAAGGTGTCCCTGTCCATGGCAGAGGGTTGGAATGAGATCTTTAAGGTCCCTTCCGACCCAAACCATTCCATGAATCTATGATTCTATGAATTTCTGAGACTCTATATTGAATAAACTTAGAAAAAATACACACTTAGGGGAGGTTTTTTCCCCTGAATATTCTATTTAGCTCATTAATGTAATGCATGGATTTTAAAAAGTTGGCATTTTGCCTCGGCAAATAGCTGGAAGATAAAGTTTATTCCTGTAATTTTCCTCGCACGAATTCCCGTCATTTAGAATCTCTTGAACGAAGCTCCAAATATAATTTTCTATCCTTAAAGTCTTCCAACACATCAGAAAATTGCCCACCAGAGTTAACTGTTACTGCTGAGCCATTTCTCCTGTGGGTGCCACAGGAACTTGTGCTTTTGAATTAACAGATGACACCGTTGGCACCTATGGATGTGAGGAGATTAATGGAGATTTTTTTTGTGTATTTTTATGTATAAGCTGGAGATTTTTTGTAGTTTCTTTTTAGTTTTCAGCTGATTTTTAATAATGGTGGGATCGAGAAGAACTGGGAGTTTCCAAGCTGGACTTTAAATAAAGTTAAAACGTGCGTGGCTTCCGAGTGTGATCCTGATTCCAGTTTATACACCTCCTGCTCCTGGCACCTTCCCATGATTCTGGGGAGGAGGGAGTGCAAACATAGTATTTTAAGGAGTATTTGGTGCTTATTAAAATCACACACACGCCCTCCTTTCCCGGGAATGTCGATTTACTGCAGGTTGTTCATGTGTCGCACGCGGACATTTTTTAGCGAACAGATCCCTTATCCCTGCGAACCGGGAACGAACAGGGAATGGCTTCCAGGGAGCAAAAAAAAAAAAACCACCACCCCTCCTATCCATTGTAAAAGGTAGGGAACCATGAAATCCATAAGCCGGCTTGGCACAGGAGGCGGCTGTTGGTGCCAAGATTTGGTTCCTGACCCACAGTTTCCCGTTTTTAAACGTATTAATCGATTCGCCAGGAGCATCCTTTGGAAAACAAGGATTCAGACAGGCTGGCACAGGCTGGAGCTCCGCCAAGGCTGCTCGGGAAGGTTGCCATGCTGGGAGCGAGCGAGCGAGAGAGCGAGAGAGCGAGCGAGCCGAGGGAAGGGAAAAAAAAAAAAAAAGGCAAGACTTGGCACAGCTCAGTCAAATCAGCTCCTTTTGTCTGATTTCTCGGCTTGAGCTTCGGGAAAGAAAACCCGTCCTGGGGTACAGGAAAAAACTCCCAACTTTTTTTTTTTGGTTTTTTTTTTTTTGTTTGTTTTTTTCCTTTGGGTTTGCAAACTTCCAGCGCTTTTTCGGGCTCTCGGGTAGTGGTGGGACGTTAAAGTGATGTCGACTTGCCGGCGAGCGGGGAAATGAAAGCTTTTCATGGAGGCTCCACGATGTGAGTTTGGACATTTGGGGAATGTGATATTTTGTGGTTTTTTGTTGTTTGTTTTTTTTTTTTTTTTCTCCTGTGTCTGATGAAACTGTGAGGGAGCCGAGAAACTTGGAAGATTTCAGAGGGAACGCCGAAATAAAAGGGAGGATTTTCGGTTTTTTTTTGCAACAACAAAAAAGTTTTCGTCGGCGTGAAGGTGCTTTCCAACCAACCCCGAGCGCCTTCGGAATATGCTCAGGACGGGAATTCCGGCGTTTCTCTCTTATAATGCCCCAGAAACGAACTTTTAATGGAACCTCCTTAAAGATTTTCATCTGACCCAGCAAGGAAGTGAGAGTAGAGGGAAAAGTTGGGACATCTCAATGGAAAAGTGAGTATGTTCTTAAAGCCACAATGTCTGTTTTTGCTACTTGGTGCTGCCCTGGCTCCATGTCCTGGTTTTTAGGGACAAGCCTGGAGAGCAGCAGGACAAGGAGAAGACACCCAGACTGTGCCTGAAGGGCAAAACCAGAAACCAGAATGTGGTTATTCTACTGCTCTAAAACATTCCCTCCAGTGCAGCTTCCTAGAAAGCATCTGGAACGGCTGCATTTTCTACTTTTAGAGGCGATAAGAGATGGGAAAATATTGGCTTCTGCCAAGTGAGGAATGTTTGGAGGCGACAGAGCTGGATGCAGAAACTTCAGTTTGTAGTTCCAGGACCTGTTTGCTGCAAACAGTGAAAAAAATCTGCTCTTTTCCCATATGTGGATTGAAAAACACCCCGTGGCGAGTGAACCGTGGACGTCTCGTGGTTCCAGTAAAAATTAAGGACCTAAAAAATCCATTGTTTGTTTTCTCCAAGGATTTTCAGGGAGACAGGTTTGTGATTCCTTGGGAGCAAATGTGATCATGCTGCCTATTAGGCCTGGATGTGCTTGGATTATCCTGCTGCTGCTGTGACAATCAGCAGGATTATTCCAGGGAGTAACTGGAAACTGGAGATTTTTCCGGATCGGCTTCACTTGGAGTAAGTATTATCCCATCCTTAAAGACTACACTGCTCAGCCTGTGAGATGTGCAATTCCTGACACGCTGCACAACTCCCTAATTCCTCTGTGCTGAAAGGAAGTAAGAAACAACATTAATGAAAAGCGTTTTAAGAGGAATGTGTTTGTATTTTAACTGGGCATCGTTGGCATTTGGATCATTCCACTGCTAAAAATAACTGGTCTTTTTGATCTAAACCAACTTGGGTTGCTTAATATTAACATGAAATTGGTTTTATGGCAAGATATGTCTGATTTTTACTCTGTCAGTGCTGGAGTTAAATAGTGGGTGAGATGCTGCTGTGATTATTATTTGGAGCACTGAAACCTTTTAATATGGCTTGGAAGTGATTTTGGAAGAAAAATTCCTATTCTTCGAATTCTTGTCTCTTTTTAAATCCTTAAAAAAATATCCTCAAGAGCCATGTGTGAAAATCTGGATTTCCAACTGAAGGAAGTGTTTGGAGGAGTTGGGTTTTGCTTTCTGTGCTCTCTTGTTCCTGCACAGGCATTGACATGGGATGTGCTCGGGAAAACAGGGATATGTGGGTTTGCATCAAGGGGAGTGAGTTTGGAATTCAGTCTGTGTGGAATTCTGGAACCAATTCCCTTTATTTCCCAGGAATTATGTTCAGTCTCAAAGCATGTGCTGTTTTCTTTAATCACCACATGCCAAAACAAACCTTTAAAAGTCAGAAAACAATAGGAAACATTTCTCGTGGTGCCTCTAAAGGAAATACTAAAATAACCTTTCAGTTTCTAAGTGATATATTAAAATAACCCTATTTCTTTCCTGAGAGAAATCATTTCATAAAGTGATTTCATAAATTCAGCTTTAAAACATGATCAACATGTGGGTCCTTGCGATGCATTTATAAATAGAAATATTTGTATGAATATTTCAACATTTATTGACACTGAAGATATTTTGAAGCAGTTACCACAATGTTGAAAATACTGTTTATCTCTGAAATTTCTAATCAGAGATTTTGGTTTCCTAAATCTCCACTGCACATTTCTTTTGGCCTACATAATAAAGTATTTTTTCTTTCTGCTAAACCCTTCGCTTTTAAAAGTTCATGTAAGTGGCTATTTTTTGGAAAATATCCTAATTTGGCAAGTTAAAATCAAGATTTGAATCACATATTTTAAATGGTTGGAACCCCAACATTAATTGATTGCATACAAGTGAAATTTGGCAGTGGAATTTGACATATATGATACTCAACTATGGAATAATCGGGAGTTTTCTGGATACTTTAATCCAGATTATTCATTACCACCATTCATTTACGACCCTTAATTATTGGTTAGGTTTAATAACTTCATAAATGAACAATTTGTGTTTAATTCTTAATGAATCATTAATGCCTATTTGATATTGGATTGTGGCAGATTTGAGGGTTAGTGGTGAGGGTTTAACTTGATTTTTCTTGTTAAACCACAGAGCCACGATATTATTTAATATCAGAGCATTGTGTTTGATCCCGTAATGGGCCTGTGTCTGATCTCACTTGTATGGATTAATAATAAACCAAGCTTTACCCTTCTGGTTTTATCAGTCTTAAAGTAGTTTGAGATCAAAATGGGACTGGAATGGCTTAGTTATTGCCTTTTATATTGGTAGATATAAACCATTTTTAAATGGCTTACTATGAACTTCTTGTGAACCCACAGTAAGTTCTTAACTGGGGGTTACAATGAACCCATGTGGTTGTTGGGCAAGGAAGAGATGCAAGTTCTCAGTGTCACCATGGATTCTCCCTAAATATGGCTGTAGGATAATAATATAAATGTTTAAATGCAGTGTATGCAGATTTTGCATGTTATTTTTCAGTCTTGTAGGAATATTATCTTCCTATATGGAAGATTACCTTGATATTCTACCTTGATGTGGTAGAACTCCACATGCAGCCATTGCTGAGTGTCCTTGGCTTCTATAGCCAATATTTTTTAAAAAACTACATCTCTTTTAAAGCTTTTTCCATTTACCATTTACCATTACTCCAGAATAATTTCCTATTTTATTACCCACTACATTCCGAGGTGTTTTCTCTCTGTGTAGCAATTTTTCTGGCACTGGTGTCATCATTTTCATTATTCCATTTAACTGTAGCACGTTTTCCTTCAGGTTTCACCCAGCTACACAGCAAGGTACTTAAAACTTAGTATTTTCCTAAGAAAACTTAGTGTTTTTTCCTAATATTTTATTTGGAAGTCCACCCTTGACCAAGGTGGTCTGAGAAAATTCGGAAAGAAGGTTGTAGCATTCCTGTGTTACTTGTCATCTGTACCTTACCATAATTTAGGGAAGGCCACAGTTTTTATTTGTGCAACAGAAATTTTGAGCAAAATTGATATTATTTTGGCCACTGTAACTGTTGAAACAACATATCAGTGACTTGAGTAACTTTTGTAATCCTGGTGGAGGAATAAACAGCTTTACAAGGTGATTCAGGTGGTTGTCACATCAGTCCTGTGAATCACTCTATTGACCATAAAAAAGATTGGAAAATAGATATAAAATTATGAAAATTTTTAATATTTTAAAGTTGTATTGTCTGCTGTATTCCCATTTATTTTATAGATGGGAACTATAGATTTATAGTTCACAGTTGTTGAGGCTCTGACTGATTCTGATAATCTTGTGGAAATTGCAGAAATGATAGAAGCTTGTCCTCTTGATAATTATGGACATCCATCCCTATTTTTCCAGTTGTTTCCCTATAATTAAATTATGCCCAGTGTAGAGCTGTTTCTCTGAGTCACTGTGGATGTTTTTCCATATTTGGTGGATGCCATGGAATTTGAGCTGTTTTAAGGGATAAATTAGAAGTTCTACGAGAAATCCCCATTATTGTCCCTTCTTTACATTTATTAAATCACCTATTTTTTTGATGAGTTTACCAAGATCAAGCAGGGTCTTGGTGTCATCTTTTCTCCTAAATTCTTATTCCTGCTGACCTTTCAGCCTTTGTACAACTCTTGGTTTGTCTAAAGTTCCAACCTGGCCTTGGACACTTCCAGGGCTGGGGCAGCCCCAACTGCTCTGGGCAACCTGTTGTTCCATGACATGTTTCAGACACCTCCAGGTCCACAGCTTGGGAATTAGATCCCAAGAAGAGTCTCTCTGGTGTGGACACAACACATTTGCTGACTTAAAAAAGAAACTGGAAGGTCTGAAGAAAGGTTTGGTTTGAGTTCACTGAACTGCAGTGGGAAGATCTAGAGCTGTGCTGCAGGTCCTTAAGGAAACTGTGAGTAAACTCTGGATTTCCCTCAGAGAAGCTGTCTGGGATTGTGTTATCCTTCTGTAGGACAGAGCTGGCCCACCACAAACAGTTCAATAAGGCAAGTTCCTGTCAGTTCCTTGACTTTTTGAAATATTTCAGGATGTGGTTCTTCATGGAGAGCATTGAGGGTGGCTTGGAGTATCTGAGAGTGGGTGTGATTTATATTTAGTCAGCAGGTTGTCTCTGTTCCATCCTATTGTCTCCACATTAGGATCCAGAATTTGGTATTTCTGCTGTGATATGAGATCTAGAGTAGTGTACAGGATGTTTTCTGGACAAGTGTGAAAGCTGGGGAGCCCAGACTAGCCAGGTGTTATTGGGGCTATCAATATATTTAATATGATTCTGATTTAATCTTCCATCTAAATATTAGAAGAATAAGAGAAGCAGCATGAAGGAAACATTGTCTTTGGTCTGCTAGATTGGATCAAACTGTAATATTCCTTTAACTGCACTTAAGCTTTTTTCCTGGCACATAAAAAGGGTTTAGTCCCAGTTTCCCAACTGCAAACTTTGGGATTCAGCACTGAAAGGTTTCTATTTGTACTGGTTTTGCAGAGCAAACCATTTTCCATTTTCCATCTCAGCACTGCCCCAAATAGTGTAAGAGCAGACACAGTGTCAGAGAGCTTTGCTGTATGAATTCTTCTGTGGGGACTTCGTTTTGGATGCCCCACAGCCCTGTTTTTTCCAGAGAGGAACAGAAATAAGGTCTAGATTGCTTGTTCATCTAATGCACAGCAAGTAAAAACAAAGAAGTCTCTGGGGTGCTTCTTTCTACCCAGTAAGGGATATGTATTTCACATTTTTGGCTTCCACAGACAGTGATTTTTAATATAAAATTCCATCCCATCTTAATGCACCTGCAGAGACTGAGGGGAGAACAGACTGAGAGAAAAGGTGTAGGTGAAGGAGAAGCATATTCAGAAATATCTTCTGGTTTTTTTTAACTGTATTGATAGAAGTAGTTAGAATTGAACATTATAGGATGGAAAGTTTTGCAGTATCCACTGATAAAATCTTCTCCAAGAAGTTTAAGGTGGAATTGATGGTTTGTTTTGGGTGGTTTTCCCACTTTTAATAACAGCCTGGGCTTTGCCCATGAGTTTCTGTTGGAATCTGCCCCTACTTGGAATGTGCTGTACTGTTCTGTCCTCAGCTGTGGATTGTTTGTTCAATGTCCATCTGCTTCCCTATTCTCCTGAGGTGGGAAGGCAGGAAGGACTTCAAAGAAGAAAGAGAGGACCTCTTCTCTACTCAGAACTGTCCAAGGCTTGCTACTTTTATTGACACTGTGGAATCACAGAGTGAAGGAATGGTTTGGGTTGGAAGGGAACTCCATCCAGTTCCACCCCCTACCATGGGTAGGGACACCTTCCATTCTCCCAGGTTGCTCCAAGCCCTGTCCACCCTGACCTTGGACACTTCCAGGGATGGGGCAGCCACAGCTTCTCTGGGCAACCTGTGCCAGGGCCTCACTGCCCTCACAGCCAAGAATTCCTTCCCAATATCTAATCTAACCTAGATTAGGTATTAATCTAGTTTTAACTAAACCTCTTTCAGTTTAAATCCATTCCCCCTTGTCCCAATGGCTTTATTATATACCTTTTATGTGGCTTTTATATATATCCACCTATGGCTTTTATATCTGCCTGTTAGTTGTGCACACTCGTGCTGCATTTTAAAGG